TGTCCTTTTCATATGTGTTCATTTTTTTAATTGTATCCTTTGGTATATATGGTTGTGACAATTTTCTTCCACTATTTTATCTGAGGAAGTGGGTCTGGCCCACGAAAGCTCATCACCTATTAAACCATCTTGTTAGTCTTTAAAGTGCTACATAGTCCTGTTTTTTGTTTCTAATACCTAGTCAGTGTCAAGTTGTAAAGAAGCCATACAAGGAAATGTTATGGATACAGGCAGTCCCCGACTTACGCACACTTACGAACGGGGCTTTTCTCGCCCCGGAGCTCACGGGCAGCGGGTCGCCACCCGTGTCCTCCAGGATGAGAAAAGCTTCTCCCGGTCTCCCTGGTCTTCTGGGGGGGGGGTCCAGGAAAGCCGCTGGACCCCCCCAGCAGACCAGGGGGACAGGAGCAAAGCCGCCCAGGCGGCGGGGGTCCCGCTGCCTCAGCGGCTTTGCTCCCGGGCAAACGAGCAAAGCCGCCCAGGCGGCGGCTTTGCTCTGGTGTCCCTGGTCTGCTGGGGGGGGTCCAGCGACTTTGCTGGACCCCCCCAGCAGACCAGGGAGACCGGGAGAAGCTTTTCTCGCCCCGGAGGACACGGGCGGTGACCCGCCGCCCGTGAGCTCCGGGGCAAGAAAAGCCCCGTTGGTAAGTGCGGATCCGACATAAGTCGGATCCGCGTAAGTCGGGGACTGCCTGTATATAGATTAGGCACTAGATGCACTGCTGAGAAATGCAGCAAGAGACATTTGCAGAACGGCTAGGAATGTTTTCATCATGGAGAGGCCTTGAAGTGAAACACAAAAATCCATGAATTTGGTTTTCAACATGTAAAAAAACCTTCTCTCTTAACCCGCCTTAGTGGCCTCCCATGGGAGGGAAAAGGCTTGTCTGAGACACTCCTGGTGGTTTATTCCTAGTGCTCTGGGTGGGTCTCAGTGTTAAGGCTCACGAAGCAGGGTGAAGAGCTGGCTGAGAGCCTACACACAGGCCAGCCGACAGAGGGGCCAAAAAGGTCAATCACCTCAGGGCCCAGAGATGCAAAAGGGCCTCAGGCTTCCAGCCACTGATACTGCGGCAGTGGCCAGAGACCCAGGCTCTTTAAATCAGCACCAGATCACCGTGTGGCATGCGTGCCAGGTGGTTCTCAGGGCTGCCTGAGGAGGGGAAAGCCGTGGTTTACGCCAGGAAGCACTGAGGGCTGGCTGCCCCAGCCCAGCCCTTTCCAGGAGCATGGAGCTGTCTCCCCCCTACACCTTGCCTAGGGGCCCAGCAAGTTTGTTGCCCGCCCCCCCCACGCCCACACATATGTGCTTCAGGCAGTTCTGAGGAGATAATGGGGCATATCAAGGAAGGAATGCACAGGGTATTGCTGTGCTTCAGTGATGTCCCCCTGTTGCAATGCTGCAGGAGCTGTAATGGGACGCATGGCAGGGACTAGAAATGGAAGGGGGTGGGGGAAATTTCCCCTGTAAAATTTTCCTTCAAAATTACAATTTGGAGGGTTTCACCCCCTCCCTCCAAAACAGCTTGTTTTGTTGTGGAAAGTTTCTGTTTGGTCAAAGACGCTTCTATTGAGGGAGAAAAAAAAAATCTAAAAAAAAAAAAAATGTTTTTGAACAGCTCTATTAGGGAAGCTCTTGAGCTAATCTAAGCTGCTCAGGGGAGCAATCTAGCTCACAGCAGTGCCTGCATAGGAGCTATGCAAATCGCCTTCTCTCTGACCCTGCCTTGCATCCAGCACTCGATGAAATTCCATTGTTTTAGATAAAATGATTGCTTCCTTGCTCTGAGACCCCAGAGAGGGGACAACATCCACCCACAGACCTGTTCAATATGAAGTTCTATTCTTCATACACGTACACCTGCCCTGGGAATGCTTCATGAGCCTAAACACTTAGGCACTCTCCAGAGTATTAAGAATAAGCCACAAAGCGTGTGTCAGTCAAATATTTTCACTCCCTGGGGAGCAATGAACAGTAGAGTGTTGTTTCTGAAGTTAAAGCTAAGGCTGTTTTATTTTGAATAGAGTGTATGGGTATGGTACGAGAATTTCTTTTATTTTAGGGAGTTTACTCTTATTTAAATTGCAGTTTATCCCACCCTGGTGGGCAGTGATTCAGTCTGACCCACTGCAGGCATTGCCAACAAAGAAGTTTTGGGGGATTTTAAATGAGTCACGTTTCAGCAGCATGAGAACAAATGGAAACATTTCTGGTTCTTTCTGATTCTTTTTAATC